CGAATGTGCGAGCGAGTCATCGAGTCCGTGAGTCAATGAACATGATTAACATATATATATATATATATATATATATATATTACTTACGTACTTACGCCTGTTATTCCCAATGGAGCATAGGCCACCGACCAGCATTCTACAATCCACTCTGTCCTGGGCCTTCTTTTCTAGTTTCATCCAATTCTTGTTCATTTTTTTCATGTCTATCTCCACTTCCCGGAATAAAGTGCCGCCCATGACCAGTCTATTGAAGGCACATAGGTTTGCAAATCTCTCACCCTTTTTGTTCCTTTCTCCCAGTCCGTGTCGTCTCGTGATGTCTTCATATCCAGTGTTGTCCGTCCCAACCTCGGCATTGAAATCGCCCATCAGAATGGTCAGGTCCTTTGTTGGGCACTTCTGGACGATTGACTGCAGCCTATTGTAGGATTTATCTTTAGCGTCTTCATTGTAGTCGTTGGTAGGCGCATAGTATTGGATGATTTTCATATTAATGCCCTCTTTCTTAGTTTTAAAGGAGGCTTTGATGATCCTTGGTTCATGAGATTACCATCCTATAAGTGCCTTTTGTGCTTGTTTGGACAGCATCAATGCGACTCCTTGTGTATGTGGGGCATTTTCTTCGTCATGGCCGGAGTATAGCAGAAGCCTTCCTGAAGTTAGTCGTTGTTGTCCAACTTGCGTCCAATGTGTTTCACTGATCCCAAGTACCTCTAGGTTGTATCTTCTCATTTCTGCAGCAATTTGGAAGGCTCTCCCGGTGTCTAACATTGTACGAGCATTCCATGTACCTAAATAAATTGTTTCTCTGGTTTACAGAAGCGGCATCGGCCTCATAACTTCCTAAGGAATTCGGCTTTCATCATGAGGCGTCATAGTTCTCCTGAATGAAGACCTTCCGATTCCCAGGGCATAGTTTAAAAGGTTTGGATAATTTTTTCTGGTTAGCGTTTTTTTAGAGAGTTAGTTTTCCACGGGATGAGGTCGCTAACCCCATGCCCAACCTTCCTCCTTTATCCGGACTTGGGACCGGCAGTAGCCTCCGGAGGGACTCCAGGCTGAGTTAATATATATATATATATATATATAGTGAAACGAATGAATCGTCGAATCAACTAAGCGACTAATAGCAAGGCTGGCAGAGTGAATGTATGCGTAGACTGCAAGCAGTGTACAAACATACATATTCATGCAAGTGTAACAATAATGAAGGTACAATGATGTAGATAAGTTAATATTGCACCGATGACTCCGTCCGTTAAATAAGTTGACAAAAGGGCTTAACCAAATTAAATGTGAACAAACGCAGTTCCATGTGAGCTGCTATATTCTAGTCAATTTTAATCTATAAGTGTTTTGAAATGCACAAGAAATTTTGATTTTTAACACGATAGGGTGTACACAGCGGGCGAAAACCTGATGAAACAAACTTAATTCATGTTAGTTTACACAGACCAATAGTGATAGAAACTACATGTCATAGCCAATACTAGCAAACTACTGAGGAACTTAGAATAAGCTTCAGAATTAAGAACGGGTAGTATTGTAGTTATCAAGTCCTGTAAATACAAGAAAGTTGGAATAATCAAACTAGATACATAACAGTTTTTTAGTTTGCGGTATGTATGCTTACTCCTGGCAGGGATATCTAGTTTGTCGCTGGATCAATATCCGTTACACTCGAGGGACCATTTAATCATTCCGCTTAACAAAACAGAATTCAGTTGGCATTTATTAAATTATCGGCTGTTTACTCTTAGAGATGTGACTTGGGAAGAGGTTGCGAGGGAGACATTATAGTCTCATAGAAACCTAGTCCATGTTCAATAACTTACATTATTGCTTAAGTGAAGACTTTTCGCTCATTGTTCACCTTATCTATACAAAAAAATCAGACGAACTTCATGAATAACAAAAAAATCAAATATTCCTTACTTGGAGTCTAGATAGACTTTTATCTAGGATGGAAAGATTATGGATAACGGGAAGTCTACTGACATTGTCTCGGCCATGAAGAATATTTAATGTAACTTTTTAAAAGACGGTTTAAGGAGTGAGGCTACAGTATGTAGCACAAAGTTGGTTGCCATATAGATGGGCTGTATAGTATCTCCAAATCTATGGTATTCGGGGGACAAAGTGAAGGTATGGAAGTTCCGTAACTTAACGAATACTTTTGATAACTGGTTTGAGACTCAGTTGAGCTCTGAGATTGTAGTCAAATGTGTTTCAATGACTATAGGATGTAGAGATAATAGGAATTTTAAAACTGAGATGTCTTCACAATCAGTTTTGAAAGAACTTAGGAGCTATCATTTAAAACTACAACTTCCATTAAGCTACGACTAACGAGCTCAGTACGAAATGAGCTTAAAAAGGTATGAAAAGAATTTTAACTGGTAAATTACTGAGTTACTGATACATAAAAGTGATAAAACTGCAATAAAGCAGAAGATTCTTATCCAAATGAGGTTTAGAGCTCTGAGAGTGATCTAAGGGATTGTGAAAATGCCGTTATAGAGATGCTTGTTAAAAAGATTTAAAATGACTGTAAATGAGAAGACAGTTTAAAAAACTTCAGCGTTTGGTAATGACGAACCATCAATGAGCGCAGATAAAGATTTAGAAATTTAAAGATTAGTATTCTGAAACATGTTTTAACGAATCTTTGTCATGTTTTATTGGCTCCTCAGGAAACGTTTATGATTCATCTCGCGATACCTCTTAGAGTATCAAATTTCAAACCATGATTGTTATCAAAGAGCGGAATTCACGGACAAAATTTAATGCGTTATACTAAACGTCCCCCTTATGTATGCTGCCTTTGAGCTTGATGTTAGAATTCAACTTCAGCAAGTTCATGAGAGGATCTGTTGTAATATTCGCAATATTATGAGTCATCGTAAAACATTCATACATTGAGAGATATAATGACTTTATACATAAGCGTATATAGTAGGTTCTTAAATCACATGATCAATTCTTGTTGTCATTACGAAGTATGCTTCAAAGTGTATCCATCAGTCTGAAGGACGTATTTACTTACTCCAAGCAACATCGAACACCATATTAAAATGTAGATGAAAATACATACCACTGAACTGACTTGGAATCCTTTGCAAAATTGCCAGAGGGATGTTATCTAAATATATTGGGAAAAACACTGGTGTTGTGGCCGCCCGCTGTAAAAGAACTTATTTTTAGTGTAGAAATGTGCATAGTTGCCAACAGTACGCCAAAAACTGACGCTATAAACTGAAGTGACTTTCAATGAGTTAAAAGAATAACAAACAGCACTTACGACACAGTGGTACATTAGGTAGGAAAAAATGACAACTGTTATGACACGGATTTCACTTGTAAGCATTAAGATACCATAGATATTCGGAATGTGAAAGCAACTTTACACGTAACACCTTTATAATCCAAAGATCACAAATCCAGTAAACCAGAAGTCAGGAATGAAGTGGTTCGAAGATATATTTGGGAAGCTCTCGATGTGTTGAGAAATGTCTGATCTAGGCTGGCTATCAGTTGCAAGTGGTGCGTAGCACGGTGTACCTTTTGAATTATGGTCTACTTCGTTAATAATACTATTACAGTAATAGACCTTATCCTAAAATTATAGATATATAATGATGTGACTGCCTAGTCTATAAGATTTTACGTGAAAATCACAATGTTCCTCACACTGACTCATTGTATCGTAACAATTACCAATACGATACTTAGTACTTTCTAAGACTCTTTTATACTGAATACGAATAAAGACAAGTTACACAGAATAACCACGTCTGCGAGCCTGAGCCATGCCATCCGATTGAATTCAGTTAACTGTTCCTGCCTTCTCTGTTGTTAATCTTCTTTTCGTGTTAATTGTTGAATATGCATTTTCCCAGTTATCTCATGTCCGGCTTTGAGGATTGTGTAGTTAGGACCAATCCCACCACATACCCGCTCGTGATCTGATACGTACGCGTGACCGAGTGCTTTCATCTAGATATGTCCAGTGAAACTAATGAGGTTGGTATCAATGTCGAAGACTTATAGAACTATTTATTTTTGGTATCTATTTACCGTTACAAGCTCCTCCTAGGGTAACAGCCACAAACAAGATTCACCCGATCAACAAAGGCTCCTCTGCATGACCAGCTCTGATTTCGTGAAGGGAGATATAAATTCAATGGCGTTACTGATTAGTAATTCAGGCCAGAAGTTCCACGTGGTGTAGAGCGGCGTAAACGCATGTTATAACACTATTATAATGTTCGGTCACAGGCCATAACCGGTAAAGCAGAAGAACAAACAACGATGGTGGAATTTGCTTGAATACCAACAGTAGCGCATGCATTAACCAGTCATTGTGATTACAAAATTATTGAATATACATGTCACCTGAGTGTCCGGAATTTCCCTGTTCGAAGACACCGCGACTCGATACCTACTATAAGCTCCATTAGTTAGGTTCACATTATTCTTCCATGGACCAAAATGTGGTTAATGTTCGTCAGTCATGATGCTTATCAATCAACCACTTTCCCCTATTAAATGAAATATCTGAGAAATAATGAGACATAGGACAGACAACACCCATGTTAAGAGCTACTTTCTCCGTTCCTGGAAACTACGGACATAACAAAAGTGTTCAAACCTTCAGTTTGGCGATTCGTTAGATAACTAGACATATCAAGAAAGTCTCCTTTTTCATGAAACTAGATCTGGAAATTTGAATCCGTATTATTTTCCGAAATGGACGTTTATGTCTTTTTTCAACTACTTAAAATAAGATCCGATGAATATATCAAAATATATTCTGAATGGTCAAAATTGTTCCATGGAATCGCATAGAAAATTTATCACAATTACCTGTAAATGAAACATTGAAGGACGAAATAGTCTCCACACGTCTTGTTTGAATCTATCTTTTCGTCTGTGTTTGTGTCTCTTGTTTGGATCGTGGACTTTTCGTTATTGAGACATCAGTCTCTTTTTAAAGACTCATGTTTCCAAGCAGACCACCTGTAAGTTTTGCTAAGCAGTGTTTTTGCTTCCTATTTGTATTTCCAGTTCACACTCATTATTATAGGGGCCCTCTGGGCCGGGGGGTTCATGCAAGTTTACTGTAGTAGAAACTTGTGATAGAATAAAAGAAGAGTTCACTTGTATACAACAGCAAAATCACTCGTATGAATACTTTTTGCAATAATGGCTTTTTAGGCTGCAGCTGGAAAGAGAAAAGCTTCTCAGTGAGAGGTCAGACATGCAACGAATTTGTGTAATGTATTATGAGATGGCTAATGGTTTAAACCTAGAAATGCACAGACAAGTAAGCCATTCTCCTCATAGTAAACTTTGCTAGATGGAAATAGCTAAAAGATTAAGCGCTATCTTGACTCAAGTATTGCCATTCCTATCACAAGAGGTAAGTTTTTCTATGTTTGCCACAAATTCGTAGCACCAATCCCAAGTTCTTTCAGCTATTGAAAGAGCCAAACAAGTGACAATGCAGGAATTAAACTCTGTATTGGCAGTAAGTGTTCAGTCATTTGGATTCCAACTCATATATAGGCACAAATAGAAGATGTCAAGTCCTCGAAGTTCTTCAACGGAAATAATATGGGGCTCCCATTAGAACAGTTCGAAGCATACAAGGTACACTTTTGTGCATTAATACATCTTTGTAGCAGCTGTCTGTTATTGGGGGTGCTAACCCAGGCGTTTCCGGTTTACATGCTTCTAATTTGACTTCTAACCATTCTGCGGGCAGTACATCGTCCAGCACCCCTGGATCTCTCCAGTCAGGGTCAGCTAACGCACAGACGTCCAGTCTGCTTCCATCTCTTTCTCCATCTGGTAATCCGTCAGTTTCAGCGGCACTGTTGAATGGCTTGATGTCAGCAGCCGGTGCAGCATCTGTTGGGCCGGGAGCCCTTATGCTACAGTCTTCTGGTTCAAGGATATCTCCACTTGGACGTGAAGCCGAAAAGTTAATGAGTAATGAAGATAAACAAGTAAGTGCCATTCTAAGTGGCTACAGTGTACACTTATCTGTCAAGTTACACAACGAAATACTATCGCTTCGGCTCTGGATTTAAACATAATTGTTTTAACTTTTCAGAGCCTAGTGAACAATTTTTCTGTCACGACTCGTAAAATGGGTGTTGATGCACGTCTCAGCTACTGCAAATAGTATAGTTTACTTTGGTGATAAGGATGGTTAAACCAAAGTTCAAACAAACGCACGTGTCCAACTACTGATCTTAGGCATACAGGAAGTAGGCGTCCTGAATCATGTCCTAGGGATGAAAGGATATCCTAGTTTGTATTGATAAACTCTGGATGGTTCGTTTCAAGAATGGAGCGTAGTGACGCAAATGTATTCGCTTTGCTTCTTAAACATTTTTCCACTTGTTGATTTTTCTATCTCTACTCTGGGTCAATTTTTTCTTTGTACTGCTGCAAAATGTGTCAAGTTGTTATGCACATCATCGGGCACCATATCACTGATATTTTTGAGTCGAACGGTACAAAACACTACTTGAATTGGTTTCCAACATTGAAGCTATATTAACGGGAATGGATAGGGGATTAATGACATTCATCACTCATCATGTGAATAGGTAATTGGTTTTTCTCCGTGACCACACGATATTCGATCACGCATTTTTGTATTAATTTTCTACTTTTAACAGCGCGCTGCTGCTGCTGCAGCGGCGGCGGCAGCAGCAGGTAGTTTCCTGTTATCCAACCGCTCGTCTGGTAACGGCCCGTGTTTAGTCCCTCCACCGCCAAATCCAATCACTGGTTTGTTAGGTGGTTGTGGTGAGTTTCCTGGCTTTCCAGGCACATTCCCGATTAGTGCGGGTCTAGGAGGTGGCGATATTGGGAGGTCCCCTTCATCTCTTCCACCAATCTCTCAGCAGCCGTGTCGCGGTTCATCCACGGATGATGCTGGGGGTCGATCAAGCAACTCAGGTGGGATTCAGTTAGGATCTAATTTTGCTGGCCTTCCTCATTCGAGTTTATCTGCACTGACCAATCCCCTATTGCTTCCTCCACCTATGACTCCTACACCCGGCGGAAATCTGGGTCTCAGCAGCTCAACCCCAACAAGTTCTTCAGTTATGGATGAAAAAAGACGCAAACTTAACGAGCCTAAGGTAAGCTGTTGTGACCATTAGATATAGTGTGTTGTAATAATTTGTCCCTATACTCGCTGTTAGTTAATTATCAGTCTCACTTTTCTCACGATTTTATTGCTTTTGTTTTCTTGTATTCGAAAAGTGTGTTAAGTGTATTTAGATACGTCATGATTTTTGTTGGGATGTTTACTTTATGACCGACCTCATCCTCCACGGGTCGATGTTAGTTGGTTGATAATAATGAGAAATATAGCTCAGATGAACGCCTTCAGCACTTGCGTTCTCTGACCTAGAGGACGTAATTGTAAAGCTTTTTGTCGTTCTAAACAGCATTATCAACTCATACATTATGCAGAAGTAAAGTTTCTGATTATTCCGCAAGGGTACAGTCATTCCGTTTTGGTGGCTTTGTTTCTAACTGGTTGACCTCGCCGGTTTTATTGGAGGGGTTGATTCGCGTCTAGATTTTTTCGAACAAAGGAAGTAGGATTACGAAATTTCAGGTTTTATATCGACCGAGGTCTTGAATGAATAGGAAAACCTAGTATAGTTTCGCCGTATTGGTTTTTGTGCGCATTTTAAGTAGAGAACACCTCGTAAGTAGGGTGGGGCAAACAAATGTCATTGCCTTTCGGCTGTTTGAAGTGTCGTAAGTAATATGGATACCGAAAGATCTGTTCAATTAATGTAGTACTTTATTCTCATTAAGTATAACGTCTTTCGTAATAATACACTGGTGCTTAAAAGTAAACATCTAAAAAGTTCAGCGCCATATATTCATTGCATTGTCAACAAATAGATTGGCGCAACGCATTTTGAAAGTATTATATACAAACTTTTGATTTTTTAGGAGGGTGGGCACGAAAATGGCAATTGGAGGATGAATGACGATATGCGCACTATCCCAGTAAGTTAAGCTTGTTCACTTTCTTAGTTGTGACTGACTTGTATTTCCTACCTTTAATTTTCACCAAATAGATTACGGTTTGTGAATTAAAATTTATTTCCGACTACTGAGACACTTTTGAATCCCGTTTCGCTCACTTCTATCTGAATAGCCGAATAACATCATTAGCCTCCATAAAACGCATATTGTTTCTTGGTTTTATTAGTTTACAGTTTATGGGTTTTACAAACTATGGCTGATACTGACGACCTAGCCAGATTGTTCTAGCGTCTGTGTTTCTGACTAGAAACCAAGTCCTTGATTTAGTTTATCAAAATATTAGCACATTTTATTATCAGAACTTTGACCTAGTTTTATTCCATTCAGTACTCATTTCTATCTAGTTCCTGTATTTCTTAGAACAGGTTCGGCATAAATGGTTATTTCAAGTGGATATGCAGTTCGCTTAATTTGTCACAGTTGAATTCACGAGTCGACCTAAGATAGACCACCATTGCAAACCTGGAAGCATTGGACGGTCATTTCATCCTAGTATGGGACCCCTCAGCAGTGCGCACCCACGGTCCCTCATGTGGGACTCGGACTTAGGGCCTTTGGACTCGCACGCGAATGTTTAACCTCTAGGCCATTGAGCCGGAATCCAACGGTGTTAATGTCTAATTTTAATCGGTCCATGATCTTGCGCAACCTTCCACCCATTGTCTCAGGTAGATAACTGTCTCACACTCGACACGGATTGAATTCTACTTGCCACGACTTCTCATTAGAACTCCAGGAAATCCATCTTAAAGCTAATTACTAGTAAGCACATGATTATTATTAGTATGGGGATACACACTGCTAAGTAGTCCTTTAACAGGACGAAACGGCTGTCCAGTGCTTCCAGATTTTCAGTGGTGGTCTAGCTTAGATCGACTCGTAATTTCAACTGTGATAATTTATTCGATGGTCTTTCGACTGTATAACTAAAGGCCCTTGGGTTTTGAATAATTTTGATCAATACCTGTAACATTGAGTCGTGCTTTTGACATCGTGTTTCGATTCAGATTTCAACACTAACTGAATTCCTATTTTTAGAAGAGGATTACTTTGCAATATATTATAATGAGTACCTGTATAATCATCCTCTTACGTTTCTGTCTACTAAGTAACATTTTTATCTGGCCTTTATTCGTTTGAAAACAATTCGTCTAGGATCAAAAGACTATGATTTATTATGTAGAAATAGATGTATTTATGCTATTGATTATTGCATTACTTTTACAAGATCTTGTATTTTACTTTATTGTAACAAAGGAGAGAGGTCCAAATCTTGGGGGTACTGGTCGTCGAAGTGGAAGCAGTCGTCAGCCTCTCAGTGAGTTATATTAGAGATATTCATGTAGTTTAATTTCCGAATAAATAGTTCTGTTTCCAAACGTACCCAATAAACTCGCTCAATCTCCTGTTTAACGAGTGTATTGAGATATATTAGAAATACTAAATCATTCAAACCTATATCTGTTAGTTGAACCCATATTAAATTACGAGTTGACGTGTATTCACAGGCACTAAAATTCACTCATTTGTAGTGAACCTCTGTACTATATTGAGTGACTGTCCTCAAAACACTGGCAAGTCATAACATTATTAGTTCAATGACTTACATAATGAGGCACTGCAACATTATGGCAGTCTTCATCATTAAAAGATTCTTAGTGGTAGTAAAGGAAGCTATTTAATATCTAAATCTTAATATCAACATCAGTCTTAAGATGGTGGTTGGAAATAGTCAACAGGAACTTCGTGTTACTTGGCACTCGTCAGCAAGGTGTACCTGTAATCTTGGGGGAACTGATGCTTCCTGACGGATTTGATCCCGTGTCACCCAGATTCACTCTTAGAGACGTCACCATTGAGCTATCCGGGTCGCAACTGGCTTCCTGTAGGATTGAGGTGTATTTACAATTGATTGATCACTGGGTGGTGACCAACGTCACGTATGTCATATCCTTCTTAATGCAGATCGAATCCTATCAACCAAGTTGCAATATGGCCACTGGTCTAGGTGACTCGACGCAATCTTTCTTTTATATATTACTACCATTGAAGTAACTACTATGAATTTGGTGTTCATCTTGTGCTAATGAGGTGTGGCAACTTGAACCGATGCATATATGTGCCTGGTTATACGTTGTAGCTGACTGACTGACAAAATTACTGATTCACTGTAAACCTTTGAATTCACTTAATCCACATCTGCAATTGACTGGTAGCTGAAGGTGTCTTGATAAGATGACAATTAACAACTTAAAATGTTTATGATATTTGAATAACCTACAAACCGATGCGGATTCGGGGCTGCGAAATGTAACAATTACTACTATCACATTTTTAATTGCTTGAACAAACCAATAAGACTAAATTTGTCCAACATCAATTGTCCCTGAATATTATTCAGCTTATCGAAAGACCATTTGCTCCTCACTGAGATTTGTTAAGTATGAGGTAAAGCACTACTGATAGGTATGTATGTGTATAACAACCCAGTTGTCTACAACTGTCAATGCAAGTTAGTGAATGTGTCTTCTTTCGAATTGGTCGTTTTGCAACAAATCAATCTTGTTTTTTACAAAAGTAAAAAGGAACTGAAACGTATTCGCAAAATCGACTCCAACAGTGAGAAGTACTGCGAAGTTAGGGTGATATAATTAAAAATGCAGTAACTGTAATTGTTAACTATTAATGAAACTTTTCAGGCGGTTTTTACACTAAAATGAGTAGAGCTATCATTGGGTTAATATACAGAATACATACAGAATATACATATCGTGCTTAAGGCTGGGCGAACAATCGGGAACTGGATGGTTTTTCTTCAGAGAAGTGTATTGAAAAACTACATCGCCATCAAAAACCAATACAGTTAATAAGGTCCATAGAGGGTTGAAATGAGTTGCAGACGGTCAGTGCGTCCTAAATTTGTCCACTATCAGTTTTTCCGTTCAACCTTTTCGTAAACCTCACTAATGTACCAATTCTAACTATAACTTTTAAAGATTAAATCCCTATACAAACCTCTTTCGTTTTTCCTCTTCTCTCCTAGATCTTAGTCCACAGCTTAGTTCCGGTCACAACACTACCTATCCAACTACTTCAAGTGCACCTGCAGTCGGCACTGCCAACGCGAATTCTGGACGTCCATCTCAGGTAGGTTTTAATACTTTCAATGTTCATCTTGATCTTTTTGTTTACAAAATGTGGCAAATAGAACTGGTGCACTTTGTCACATGTATTTGTTTTCTTTTTGTATTTTGAATTTCATGGTTTGATTATCACAGTAGTTATTTTAGTAATGTTCTTAACTACTACTTATCTGCTGTTAGGTGATAATTTGTCCAAAAATGACAAAAATCCGATTAGCTGGTTTTTCAAGGCGACCTTGCTTTTCTTTTGTGCTGCTTACTTCTACCAACGTTCCGGAAAACAAAATTTTAGTTTTCGCATACTAGGTTTAGTAACCTGGTGAGATTAAGTAGTCTTATTTCCCTAAACGCTTCTCTATACTATCCTATGTCAGTCATTCTATGCTTAGTCACGGATCACAGAGTTTTTTTCTATTCAGAACGATAATATGAGGGATTGTAGGCGTTGAACCTGAAATAATGTTGCACTACAAGTTCCCATAGATTTCAGGTTGTCATATTAGCCAGCTATCTAACTTCATATCATACGCATATTCTTACTTAAAATCTATATCCACCTAACTTTGCAGAATCGTTCTTCGAGGACTTCACTTAATGGTGTTAGGTATTTTATCTATAGTGTTCTTTAGTTTCATCTTTATTAATACACCCATTCCAAAATGGAAATGTTTGCACTTTTTATAACAATCATTTAAGAAAATTACAACAGTTAATTTGACACTTATAATCCCTTTCTTTATTCAAAGATAAAAACAAGCAGTGATTCGTTTTTAATATTTTCGTATCCTGCATTTAATTTTCAGATGTGTGCTTTATGCTATATTGTACAAAGTAGTAAGCTGTTACCTTAACATTATTTACAACAGGAATAGTTTTTCAGTTTGCAGTTATTTGTTTATCGTGCTATGATGCTATTCATTGTAATGAAGAAACGGATATTGAATCCGACTTCCGTGAATGTGTCAAACATATAGTGCAATTCCGCTCTAAATGTCTTTCTACAAAAGTAATACAGTAATCTATCCTCATCAGTGGTGGTGGTTGGTTGTCAAATGGGTTTTATTTTCTGAGGTTGAGGTTTCAGTCAGTTTTACTATGGGGATTTCGCTTTGGGTAGGGGGTCATTAAACTCTTGATCATCATCTTAAAAAGTCTCATCTTTGCTGTATGGATTGTCAAGCTTAATCTAGTGACGATTAGTTGCTGATTAGATGAATGAACGTTATACATATAGCTTCTAACTAGAAAAATGGCATTTTCTTAATGAAATCCAAAGTTATGCAATATTTATAGTTCATATGCAGTCCGGTATTATTTTTGTGACAGCATTTTACTATTTGAAAATCTTATTTTTGTTACACATGTGATTATCCTACATTTCCCTGGAGTTCTATAATTAGGAATTGATGTATGAGAGTGAAGTAGTAATAATAGTAATGGGAAAAGCAGTTCGGTTAGGAAAAATACAGCCAGAAAGAATTCTTTCAGTTAGAGAAGAGGATGATGAAATTATCAAGATTAGTACCAAAGTAGTAGAAGTGATGGTAATATCAGCGGTAGTAAAAAAAGATGAACAATATAAAACATGATTCCAGAGTAAAGAATTAGTTCGTAGAATAAAAGATGTAAAGCAGACAGTCTGCATCTACCAACATAAGGGGTATTGCAGGAAGTGAAGTATAAATTTTCCAGTTCAAATAAAGGAACTACCAAAATCGTTCACCTAAGATACAAGTCATCATCACTGTAAAATCACTAGTTCCTTTCAGCAACTAGACCAAAAGGTCCCAACATCTATGGTCATTGCGTCAAAAAATGTGCGCACATTGTTATGGTTGTTTTTTAAAGACAACGTGTATCTAGCTTCCCGACTGTAAAGTGAGTATGACGCAATCTAGTCTAAATAAATAAGTAGAGAAAGTTAATCTGAAAAAACAAATTGATTCTGTTCGTTATATCAATTATCAATATCTATGGCTTTTCCCAATTTTCTACAAAGTTCACTTCTATTTATATCCACGGAATTATGAGACTTGACAGTTGCTATATCAGTTAATGGCCACAATTAAATAAAGTACATCCATCGATAAGTTTACGTACTTTGATTAGAAGAGTTCACCAGCTTGGTTACTGCAGTGTACTTTTTAAGTGTTGTAAAACAATTTTCGGTTCCTAATTTGAGATACTTTGCTCAATTTATTACCATCTTACTGTTTTCAGTTTGGTGGATAATTCATGCTTCGTTCTTTTCCTTCATATTTTTCAGGCGTCTGAGGTCCCAGCTTCAACCCGGTGGAAACAATCATCTAAAAAGTAAGTTTATGTAAAGTAAAACTAGTGTTAGATTTCTTTCAGAAATCATGTTTGTATCAATAAAAGGGCTGTTGTATATATATACTAATTAATTTTATATTAAGCATATTTCGGACCTTAATTATACCTGTGGATAACTGCTACCTATTCTTGTTACTATTGTTTCGCCTACAAGCTTACGGGGATGGAGTGTGTGTAAATAATGACTGAGTTTTTGAATTCTTTCTATACGAAGGTAATAGTTTGCTGGTGGTTTTTTCTTTGTTAGAAGTTTCCTGTTTAACACTAGCTTGGTTACATTTATCTCACGCGTTCTATTCACAGATAATTCTCAAGATTCCAACTTCGAGATAAATGCATGTTCACGGTTCGAACAGATAAAAAATTGTCTCGTGATATCCTGAAAATAGTTTATGTTAAACACAGAAGTTCATGTTGACTTATGTTTACAAAAAATTTTCGTCATGTTTTGTAAAAAATTTGCATTTATTTGGCCCCAATATCTATTTAACACACTAGATAGCAGTAATGTCTTGCAGTATTTAAGTTCTTAAGGTAGTAAATACAATTTATAAGTGAACATATTCCCTTGCATATGGAATTTAGTGGCCCTATATCTAACTCTAGTTAGATGGTTTCTGACTTTCATCGAAATATACATGTCGTCAGTCCTCTTATATAATTATCGACTTAATTCGCGTTAGTGAATAACAGAATTGAGTAAGTCAAATGCGAGAATGAATTTGGAATGTGTATTTCATACAACCGTTGGTCTGGACAAACGATCGAAGAAACGAAGCGAAGTGACGCCCGGTGGAGAAGGCATGTAAGCCAACTCCCAGACATGTAGTGAGTTAGATAAGAAATGCACATACATACGCCTACATGAAAAATAGTCAAGGTTAATAAACGAATAAGTGACAGGGTAAAAATGTGGCTTTTGGAGAATGAATAATTGATCTGTCCAGAGGCTAGAATGACCTATGTGGGCTTGACACAATACCAGCCACGCGTATTATAGCCTCTGCCACACAGGTCCTACTCACTGCCTTCTCGCTCCCACACTGTTCACGAAACTGGAAGGACGAAAAGTGAATGCTCGGTGCCTTAACCGGGTTGGCGGACACAGATAGTCAACCTAGGGGAGTTGTAAAACCCTGATTCCAAACCAATAGTGCACATAGGCTCCAGTATCCTGAGGGAACAAATGGTGTATGAACCAATTATTAGTCACCGGCTACCATGAGACTGCATCTCCTTACGATGCTCCACTGCCTTGTGGATCAGACCCGACCGTTGTTGCTACCTTGACGTGGTGGTCGGGCTTGTCTATCGTGATGAAGCAACCGAGCTATATTGGCTGGAACAACCGTTCCTCAAGGTCCTACCATGTCAGACAGGTCGGTTGAAGAGCGGTAAGACTAAAAGCAACAAACCCAAGGTCCGAAGGCGAAGTCGTACTGCTGACTGTACAGAGGTGTGACAGCAGTAAGGTGTTTCCCTCGGACAACCAGCATGACAGCGATGCTGCCTTCCCACAAGGAGGGGTGGGGTTAGAAAAGGTCGACCCTAAAAATGCACACCTCACCTTACCTCACGGATTTCCGTCTCCGGCGGTAAGGCCCTTTGAAGAACGGAGCTAACACGTCAAAAACCTCCCACGAAAAGGCCGTGCGCGACCGGCCTCAAGCAGTTGTCCCTTGGGCAGTGCGGTCACGCTCTCAGGTCACTGAGACCGCCACTAATCCAATTTCCTTTTCAGGTACCTCCAGAAGAACCCTTCCACGGTGTGGGCAAACGGGGAGCGATAACCGCCCTCATACCTCTAACAGCACCCAAGACCACTGTATTCATAATCAACCTTCCTCTTCAATTCCTATTATTCCTCCTACATCGACTTTCAACTCTAAACTTCCTCTTTCGGCTTCCTCCTCAAGTGTCACCATAGCCAATGATTCTAGTGCTCAAAACTCTGTCCCAGGTCTACTGAAACCTCGCTCCAAACTACACATTGGAGCTTTCAACGTACGCACTCTATGTCAAATCGGTCAGCAGGCTTCCTTGGCTAAAGCCCTAGAGTCTCTTTCTATTGATGTATGCTGTGTCTCTGAAACACGCATACAGAATCCCAGTGTGGTCATTCACTTGACCTCACCTCGGCAAAACGGAGAGCCAACGAGATACACCCTCCGTGTATCTGGTGACCCGACGGCCAGTTCTCGTGGACTGGCAGGTGTAGGCGTAGCACTAAGCATGAGGGCGGAACAAGCACTGCTAGAGTGGATCCCCGTCAACAGTCGTCTATGTGCTGTTCGGCTAAACGGCTCCGTAAGAACTCGGAAGGATAGGGACACACGTCGTTGCCTTTTTGTCGTTTCTGCCTACGCTCCCACCGATTGCAGCTCAGATGAAGTGGGAGATGAATTTTACAGAAAGCTATCTGAACTTCTTCAGAAAGCTAAACGCTCAGACATAGTATTCGTAGCAGGTGACTTTAATGCCCAGATAGGTAATTTAAACCAAACAGAAAGGCATTTAGGTGGGTATTTTAGTATTCCGGCACAGCGAACAGATAATGGTAATCGTCTGCTGCAACTGTGCTCAAACAATCGTTTGTTTTTAGCAGACAAATTCTAAGCATAAGGAGAGACATCGTCTAACATGGCGACCCTCTACACCAAACCAACGATCAACTCAAATAGACCATATTGCCATCAGTCATCGTTGGAGAGGGTCGGTACAAGATTGTCGCTCATTCTGGAGTACCTGCTTGGACTCCGATCACGCCCTAATACGGGCACGCATCTGCTTGCGCCTCACTGGATGCAAAAAAGCCACAGTAAAAAGACCCATTCGAACCGAACTGAGTAGCGAGGAAACCAAAAGTAGGTTCCAGGAACAACTGAGGTCACGATTAGGTAGTTCTGAAAACGAGGTTGACCCAGTTGTTGCTAGGAAAGCCATGCAAGCAGCTGTGGAAACAGCAGTGACATCTATTAGCGACTTAAACCACAGAGTTACAAAGAACCATTGGATTTCTTCAAAGTCTATCACACTGATGGATTCTCGCAAACTCGTCCCATCAGGTTCCGAACATGAGGAAGAGCGACAACAAATCAGATCTAGGTTAAGAAAAAGTCTAAGAAACGACCGCGAGCAGTGGTGGGCATCGAAAGCAAAAGAGATGGAAAAGGCGGCGACTATAGGGAACACAAGACAGCTTTACAGACTAATAAAAGAAACTGGAATTAATAAGTCAAGTGTAAGTGAGATTATATCGGAAAAAGACGATACACTCATCTGCTCCCAGTCCAGGCGTTTAGAACGATGGGCGGAACATTTCAGAGAACAGTTCAGCTGGCCTTCAGCTACTCTACAACTACCCTCCATTCCCAGACAGTGTGAATGGAATATTGAAGTAGGTCCCCCAACTCTTGCTGAAGTTCAAAAGGCTATAGTTAATCTAAAACGAGGAAGGGCAGCTGGTCCAGATGGATTGGCTCCAGAGGTCTTTAAGGATGATGGTCCAATTTTAGCTATTAGGTTGACTAATATTTTAGCTAAAATCTGGGAGTTAGACGTTATTCCATCTAACTGGTCACAATCACTTATCGTCCCAATATATAAGAAAGGGTCAAAATCATCCTGTGACAACCACAGAGGGATTAGTCTAATTAATATAATATCTAAAATACTAGCCTAGATAATTATCAGACGCCTAACTAAGACTCGTGAACTGCAAACACGAGAGAACCAAGCTGGCTTTAGACCTGGTCGTGGCTGCACCGACCACATATTCACCATTCGTCAGATTCTAGAACATAGGCATACTTATCGGCGTCCGACAATGGTGGTCTTTCTTGACTTAAAAGCAGCATTTGACTCGGTAGACCGCGAGATTCTGTGGCAGTGTCTGTCATTGAAAGGCGTACCCCAGAAGTACATAAACCTTGTGAAGGCTCTTTACTCGAACACTACCAGTCGAGTCAGAGCTTATGGCGAACTGTCATCCACTTTTGCAACCTCAAGTGGTGTCCGTCAAGGCTGTCCACTTTCCCCATTTTTGTCTAACTTCATCATAGATCTACTGATGGAAATAACTTTCTCGTCGACTGAGTTCTCGGGTATTGATCTCCTACCAGGAGGTCCACTTATCGACTTAGAATACGCAGATGACATAGTCCTGTTTGGTGAAGACGCTGACAAAATGCAGAGTCTTCTGGTAGCACTGAGCAACAATGCGAGAATGTTTGGAATGCGCTTCTCTCCCTCTAAATGCAAGTTGTTGCTTCAGGACTGGTCTGCATCAACACCTGAACTAAGGATAGGGAGTGAAGTAGTCGAACGCGTTGACAACTTCACTTATCTTGGAAGTCTGATCAGCCCTAACGGGTTGGGGTCTGACAAAATCTCAGCACGGATTCGAAAAGCTCGATTGGCTTTTGCCAACTTGCGCCACCTATGGCGTAGGCGAGATATCCGTCTATCAATAAAAGGATGAGTATACTGCGCGGCAGTCCATTCTGTTTTAATTTACGGCAGCGAAACATGGCCATTAAGAGTAGAAGACACTCGTAAGCTATTAGTATTTGACCACAGATGCCTTAGAAATATTGCTGGCGTCTGCTGGGATCACCGGGTAAGTAATAGTGAAATTAGACGCAGGGTATTAGGGAATGATGGTAAATCAGTTGATGAGGTTATGAATCTTCATCGACTGAGATGGTTGGGCCACGTGTTACGTATGCCTGAATACCGATTACCACGACGTGCAATGCTATCCGGTGTTGGAGATGGTTGGAAGAAAGTTAGGGGCGGCCAAACCAAAACGTGGCATCAGTGCTTGAAGTCACTAACTTTTAGTCTAGGCGATGTTGGTAGATGCAGACTACTTGGTTGGGGTCCGCGTGACTATCGTAACCAATGGTTGGAGACTCTTTGTGACATGGCTCAGAATCGATCACAATGGAGTAGGTGTATACTCTTTCTGTCTTCCCTTAAACTAAGAGATTAAAATCGCTTCATATCTTTCTTTCTACGAACCAATTCTTTCTTGTACTATATCTCTATATGCAATCTTTCTCTTACATATTACTACCTTTGACCTAACCACTGCTATGAATCCGGTGTTCATCTTGTTGTGCTGATGCGGTATGGCAACTTGGACCGATGCACATATGTGCCTGGTCCTACGTTGTAGCTGACTGACTGACTGACTGGATCAGACCTTTAGGTCAAAGGCTCCGGATGTGGCCCTCTAAGGAAACCGCCGACTTCGGTTTGGGCACCCGGGCAGTATCACAGCCCTCACACAAATAAAACGAAATTAGTGTGGGGCATATGTATCTGGTGCCCTCTTGTACCAATATCTATGTGTTCAAATAAATAAATAAAATCCCTTACAGAAGTGTATTCAGTAAAAATGTTACTGACCAAAATTGACTTAAGGATGAAACGTCTTCCAGTTGAAACGATTTCCGGTTAACTATTTTGATAAAAAGGACACACGAAACCGTTTATTAGTCAACTTTTTAAATGCTGTTGAATGTGCTTACACTACTGTGTTTTTAAATATAAACCACTTTGTTTCTATACGTGTCATATTATACAGAGTTAGATGTTGATTTCATGTTTTGCTAACATGTAATTATGATATAAAATGCGTCCCTATTTGGACGGATATTAGATAAACATATAATTTTGATTGATATGTTCTGTGAGGATAAATAAGTCAAAGCTCATTGGTTTTCTGTCGTTTAATTTCTCTTTAATCGGATAGGTAATGTACTATTTTCAAAACTCGTAAATTTTTCTAAACACTCTATGCTTTTGTTTTGAAATGTTATTAATTCAGTTTCTAGTCATTTTTTACATATATATATATCTTGTCCTACCCTTTATTTTAGTGTTCAGTCTGGTCCCGGTGCTTATTCATTCATAGTGTTGCCTAATGGACAAACTCGACCGTGTGCATTGGCGTCCGCTCCCGGAGCGACTACTGCTCAGGGATTGCCTCGTCGACTTCAACACCTTGCTAGTTTACCTCATGGTGACGTCGTTTGTGCTGTCACTTTAGGCCCATGTCCAGTAGGACGTGCTTCTTCATTGGCCTCAGCTGATACCTGTATTGGATCTCGTAATGCTGGAAGTGATACTGATAGTGTTACAGTTGGTTCTCCAGGTTCAAATCACACCACTTCCATCCCCGCCCACTTTGCCTATACTGGTGCTCGAGGCAGCGTCAAGTTATGGGATCTTGCATCGATTAGTGCTAACTCTGGAACTGCCCCACTTGCTAATAGAGATATTACTCCCCTTGCTACTTTTGACTGTTTATGCTACGACAGCTATGTTAGATCTATCAAACTTTTCCCGGTAAGATAACTTTACTATATCATATTTACTGACAAAAATTTTAAATAAAATATGGATTTTTATTTACCGATCTTTCTGGTTTCACGATTTTAGGATGTTTCTGGTCTTATAGTTGGTGGTGAATCTAACGCACTCACTGTTTGGGATTTAAATGGTCCAGGACGACGTAAAGCTGAATTGACATTTGAAGCGCCTGCTTGCTATGCACTTGCACTTTCGCTTGATGGAAAACTGGCCTATAGGTAATTTTGAGTTACATTTACAAGTTTATCGATTGTGTACAGTAGAAATTTAATTTTCTGCTTTTACCACTATCGTGCTGTAATCTGATATTTCTAGTGCGGTAAAATTAATGTTCGTTAGGCAGTCCGATTATTTTAGAGTCTCTAAGTTAATTTATTTACAGAAAACAAGCTTATTTCTAGGTTCACAAGTGGCAGTGACTTTATTGAAGCTTTTGGAAATATAATGGGTTTAGTAACAAAATAAATAATTATCTAATCAAATTGTGACACGTAATCCTTAGTTTTTCTGGATGTTTGTGAGAAGTTTTTATTCGATTCTGATTAAGCATGAATTTTTCACCCTTCTCCCGACGTCGGGAGACTATCAAGAGGCTCCCAACAATCAAATAACTTTTTCTGTTTGCTTACTTTTTGAAAGGCTTATTGTAGGCTAAAAATGAATATTTCAGTTTAGCTATAATCCATTTTTATAAACGGTTAAAGAACTGTGTACTAATCGTTGTAATATTTTCTTCATAACATCAAAATGAATCATTGACTTCGTGATATTTAAACTTCCAGAAACCATCAACTTTAATCGTTCAACAACCTACGTAAATTATTCGTCACATCTTGCCAAATATAATTTAACATAAAAACTGGAAAAGTAGACTTTAAAATCCAACTTTCCTCAATTTATGTCGTTTGTCGCATGTATAGTCTTGGCTTATCGAAATTTAAGTTGGTTAGGGAATAATTCATTTCTTAATTATAGGACTGTATTTGTTCACTTTTATAATTTAAAACTTGGTTTATTTGAATTTTTATTTGCAAAAATATTTTCCTCTTTCTAGTTGCTGCTCCGATGGCCAAGTTGCTGTTTGGGATATACATAATCAGAGTATTGTTCACCAGTTTCATGGACATGTTGATGGGACATCATGTGTTGAAATTACTGGAGATGGGAATCGTTTGTGGACAGGTGGTTTAGATCATAAAGTCCGTTGCTGGGATATTCGTGGAAATGTAAGTGTATAATGAACATTAACTTTTTAACGAGTCCATGGTAAGTTCATGCATAGAGTTGGGATCAACTTGCATGGACTAGTTGTAGCTTGTTTAGTTAATCTGAAACGAGGAAGGGCAGCTGGTCCAGATGGTTTGACTCCAGAGGTCTTTAAGGATGATGGTCCAATTTTAGCTATTAGGTTGACTAATATTTTAGCTAAAATCTGGGAGTTAGACGTTATTCCATCTAACTGGTCACAGTCACTTATCGTTCCAATATATAAGAGAGGGTTAAAATCATCCTGTGACAACCATAGAGGGGTTAGTTTAACTAATATAATATCTAAAATACTAGCCTAGATAATTATCAGACGCCTAACTAAGACTCGTGAACTGCAAACACTAGAAAATTAGACTGGCCTCGGAACTGGTCGCGGCTGCATCGACTACATATTCACCATTCGTCAGGTTCTAGAACATAGGCATACTTATCGGCGTCCGACAATGGTGGTCTTTCTTGACTTAAAAGCAGCATTTGACTCGGTAGACCGCGAGATTCTGTGGCAGTGTCTGTCATTGAAAGGCGTACCCCAGAAGTACATAAACCTTGTGAAGGCTCTTTACTCGAACACTACCAGTCGAGTCAGAGCTTATGGCGAACTGTCATCCACTTTTGCAACCTCAAGTGGTGTCCGTCAAGGCTGTCCACTTTCCCCATTTTTGTCTAACTTCATCATAGATCTACTGATGGAAATAACTTTCTCGTCGACTGAGTTCTCGGGTATTGATCTCCTACCAGGAGGTCCACTTATCGACTTAGAATACGCAGATGACATAGTCCTGTTTGGTGAAGACGCTGACAAAATGCAGAGTCTTCTGGTAGCACTGAGCAACAATGCGAGAATGTTTGGAATGCGCTTCTCTCCCTCTAAATGCAAGTTGTTGCTTCAGGACTGGTCTGCATCAACACCTGAACTAAGGATAGGGAGTGAAGTAGTCGAACGCGTTGACAACTTCACTTATCTTGGAAGTCTGATCAGCCCTAACGGGTTGGGGTCTGACAAAATCTCAGCACGGATTCGAAAAGCTCGATTGGCTTTTGCCAACTTGCGCCACCTATGGCGTAGGCGAGATATCCGTCTATCAATAAAAGGATGAGTATACTGCGCGGCATTCCATTCTGTTTTAATTTACGGCAGCGAAACATGGCCATTAAGAGTAGAAGACACTCGTAAGCTATTAGTATTTGACCACAGATGCCTTAGAAATATTGCTGGCGTCTGCTGGGATCACCGGGTAAGTAATAGTGAAATTAGACGCAGGGTATTAGGGAATGATGGTAAATCAGTTGATGAGGTTATGAATCTTCATCGACTGAGATGGTTGGGCCACGTGTTACGTATGCCTGAATACCGATTACCACGACGTGCAATGCTATCCGGTGTTGGAGATGGTTGGAAGAAAGTTAGGGGCGGCCAAACCAAAACGTGGCATCAGTGCTTGAAGTCACTAACTTTTAGTCTAGGCGATGTTGGTAGATGCAGACTACTTGGTTGGGGTCCGCGTGACTATCGTAACCAATGGTTGGAGACTCTTTGTGACATGGCTCAGAATCGATCACAATGGAGTAGGTGTATACTCTTTCTGTCTTCCCTTAAACTAAGAGATTAAAATCGCTTCATATCTTTCTTTCTACGAACCAATTCTTTCTTCATGTACTATATCCTCAATGCAATCTTTCTTTTATATATTACCACCTCTGAGTTAACTACTTTTATGAATCTGGTGTCCATCTTGTTGTGTTAATGAGGTATGGCAACTTGGACCGATGCATAAATGTGCCTGGTCCTACGTTGTAGCTGACTGACTGTAGCTTGTTTGATTTCGTGCTTAACAATCGACATTATGCTAACTAGATCAGGCATATAGTAGAACTCTTTGGGTTTTAATTTGGCTGTTCACTTATTTGTTGAATTTGTTATATTATGTTTGTATTAGTGGAGTTCTTTTACTCATATTATCATGTTCAACGTTTTCTTTCAACTTAGTTTTATGTTGATTTAAAGATTCGCTTATTTATTTATCTATCGATCGATACTTCTTTCCCGGTTTATTCTCATTTTAGAAATTTTTTTCTGCGTAAATTATTCGTATTTTTGCTTTTATTTGAGAATGAGAAAGTTATTAATTGTGTGTGTTTGTTGAAAAGAAATTTTTTTCAACCGACCAGTCACTTCAACTCCTATCCATCTTAACTAAATAGCCTTTTTTTCATCCTGTTGTGTAATTAGGTATTACCAAAAATTATCTATACATCCTTTCTTCTAAAGATGATTACTATGTGCATGTGTGTTGCAAACACAATGGCTTCAGTATCTTATGATATTTATTCTACAAGCTGATATGAAAGCTCTTATTTCTTAAATTTTTGATCATTAACAAAATTATCTTGAACTTTCTGTTAGTTACTTAGTTCTCATATTCATTCAAATATGATATATCTCATATGTGATTGTTATACTAACTAACGGAACAGAGAATAGATAAGTAGCGTTTAATATATATCCACACAGATTATTCTTTGTTTAATGATATATATATATAATGAAAAATTACCACTTTAAAAAAACTTTAACGCTTCCCTACATCTTCCCACTTCTGTAATTTCATTTCAGTTGTTTTCTTTTCATAAAAACTTTACAAGGAACCCAATATTATACACTATTTTCCTTCTCTTCCTCATTTAGAGTTGTGTTTTTTATTATTTACTGTCATTGTTGCCTGTCTGTACAGATTGTTTATGAACGCCAGTATATATATATATATATATATATATATATATTGCTGGTGTTGGTAAGTAAGAATTGGGAATATTTTTTCACAGAAAGACATTAATTAATATTTGATTCTCATCGTTCTGGTTTTAGATTTTCTTTCGTTTGCATATTTTATTATCTGCAAGTATCACTATAGTATACAAAACTTATCTCGGTCATGTTTGCCTACATGTGTAAGTATGTTCTCTATACAATATAGTTAGTTACTTGATAATATATCTGACCAATCAGCAGTTTTCCGCTCTTTGCTAGTCTATTCCTAGACACACACACCTATACGTACACAAATGTAGAATGAGACTTTTTTAAAGTGTTTTTATTCAGTAGAATTAAAATAATGATTAAAATATGTTCGATATTTAATTTTATTTATAATGTTTTTGATTTGTTTCTTTTTGACATCACTCTGTTCTTTCTTTTCAACTCGAAAAGTTTACAGATATCTGTTTAATAAAGTTGCATCTTGTTATGGATTAGTAAGAAAACATATTAAGTACACAGTTCAACTGATCATTTTTATAATTGATGTTGCTTGTTGTCTTTCAGATGTAAAAGAAACGAATAAACGGTCACTTAAAATAATGACATCTTGTAATAAAAGGTAGCTGTGTTAGTTTCTCATTTGTCAATGCATCATTACATCCTCAACGGTCTCGTACACATAACTCATATGGACTTTTAAAACTTCGGACATATTATAGTGTTTTGTGTTTCACGCGTAGTATATAAGAATGAATACTTTAATCGGAATCTCTCAATAATCTTTGTTGTTAATGCCATTTCTCTAACACAATATTACTTAAATTGCACATCTTTTTGAGGTGAGAATATTGATGACTTTTGAGCGACGCTAAAGTGACATTGAAAATATCCACCTCTTATTAGGACTGAATAAGGATCATAGATCAGTGTGAAGAATTAGGATTAGGATTCACAGTTAGTGGTTGGGGTTAGGAATTAGATTCGGGGTTTTTATCTCGAACTGACATCAACTAAAGTGCCAAAACGCTATCTAGCTAAATCGATGGATGAATTTCGCGCCAAAATCCAAGACCTGCTATCCTGAGTCTGATTTGTTCGTCCATTAATTACAGTCTCGCCCATCAGTTTATTTAGTTTCTACTAATTTAATATTTTATTACAGCTGATTATTCAGTGATACCTCAGGCATAGCATATTATGAAGTATACTTTCATTATTTAGGTCAGTGATTAGTCCCAATAGCATTTCACCTGTCTATTTGTTATTTATTAGACTACAGCCCTTTTTTCTTTAAGTTCTTTATTCGTATGAATCTAATTGATTTTCCAACCTTTTATTGCTATTTCAAAATAGCCACATGTATCCACCAGTTATTGTTTTCTGAATTTACAGCCTTCACGAGATGTCTGTCACATTGAATTCAAGTCCCAAGTGTTTTCACTTGGCTTATCTTCACATATGGCCCCAACTCGGCGCCAAGCTGAATCAGTCTCTCCAGTTTCGGTTGACGGAGAGTCTACCTCTAGTGGTGGTGCTGGTGCTGGAGGAGGTACTCGCGACACAGTTAGTCCACAGTCGTTCGTCAGTGGAAGCAATAAGTCACTATCAATTGAAAGCTGGTTAGCGGTGGGTTTGGAGTCATCTGAGGTTGAAGTTCTAGCTATAGGACCAGATGGACCACCTGTTTCAGCATTCCCTGTTAATTATAATGTACCACGTGAAGAATCTGGAAGTGGGAGTGGTAATCCTTCCCCAATATCCCATCATACTGGATCTAATCAACCTCAACATTTTCGTCTTACTCATCATGAAAGTTGTGTGTTAGCTTTAAGGTTTGCACATCATGCTGACTGGTTCCTTACAACAGGTAAAGATCATCAAGTTAATGCTTGGCGAACTCCATATGGTGCCTGTCTTCTTGAAGTAAGTAATTTCATCAATGTGGTAATCACGTATCTTGAGTTTTTTTTAAAAACAGAATTAGTTTCAGTTATCTTTTTATTACACATACCATTGTTCTTTAGTATACTGAGTTTAAAGTAAAAGTGACAACTCATTCCTTGTTGATCCTATTTTCCCTTTTGTATCCTGTAGTAAGAGGCGGTAAACTGCTAATCTAACATACACGAGACCTATGCAAATTCATTGAATGTTTTGTCTTAGTAATCGGAAATTAATGTATACTTACACTGATTTCCTAGCATTTGCTTTTGAACCGGACGTTATTTTTCTTTAGGTAGGTAAACTCACATGCTCAACCATCTGCTTTCATCAGTAAATACTTGTCATTCATTACCTTTACATCTTTCTGAGTAAAAACAAAAATTTGTTCGTATTGAAGTGTTTATTACCTGGTGATTTGTGAGAGTCCTGTAAATAATGATTAACAGTCGTATTTGTCAATTGCTTACTGTATAATGATTTATTCTTTGTTCATTATTTCAGGGTTTACTAGTAGTAGACTATGATTATAATCTTTTAATATTACTGTAATTACAATGTTTCAAGTCTAAACAGTAGGAATTACTGAAAGTAGGATGGTATTTAACGAATAAACTGAATAGGTTTAGTGTATTTAATCTATTAACCTTTGTGTGTAATCAATATCCTATCGTACGTATTTGTAGCTGTTCGTTTGTATTGTATTTATGTAGTGTACATTAGTCAAAGTATTTATCATTTACCAATTTAGTACAGTCTTTTGATGAGACGTCACGTCTACATTTAACTTTAATTAACATTTCTCAAAATGTAGATACTAATTTTTAATATAAAGAAAAAACACAGCTTAGTTTGATTCCTTTTTTAAATAGTTTATTGCGGAAAGTTTAAAATGTTTATAAATGACAACGCCCATCGATACTAGCATTTCTTTCTACTTGTTACCATGTGGTTTGTGAAGCAACTTTTCACTTTTTGTTTTTCAGTGTCAAGACAGTAAGGATATTCTATGTATTAGTCTGGTAACAATAATCGTTAATTATCCACTCGTATAGGTAACTGAAGCATAAATATTTTAAAACGACTAACAGATGCGAGTAAATTAAGTGGTATTCGATGTACCAGAACCACAAGCTTATAAACGGTACTGAAGTTTATATTATTTAAGAACACGCTTTTTATTTATGTGGTAAGTAAATCGCAGTGTGTTTGATTGATTCGAGGTCGTTGTACGATGGTTGTTAATTGATCCAGGTTTCAACTACTTGGTCACACGTTTGTGTCACTCTTCGGTTTGGGAATCCAAATAGTTCCATTCCATTTCCTCTCAACAGCAGGACGTTTTGCTACTTTTTGAGCAACTTACAAATTTCATCAACTGGTAACAGCTTTCTTCAAATTAATGAATGTGCACATTTTATCGTAGCAAATATCGCCCCTGTAGAACAATTTGACAGCAAACTTTATTTGTCAATTTGGCTTTATGACAAGCGTATATGTAGTTAGCTAATTGAAAGTTGATTTATTCAAGTTTGTTATTTTCTGCATCATTTTTAAATAATAACATTTTGTTTTCTTAACTGCTAGACGAAAGAAGCGGCGTCAGTTCTAACATGTGACATATCCTTAGATGATAAATTTGTGGTTACCGGTTCCGGGGATAAGCGTGCAAATTTGTATGAGGTTATCTTCACTTCTCAACGATAAATTAATGACATTCCTTAAATTTATGTGTGCAAAATGCAACAATGTCTTATACTAATGATCTGAGATCATTCATTTCATTAATGATCCTTTTCGCCTCTCTTTATGACTATAATCCTACATGATATATTGTATCACAACTATCCGGTATGAACTGACATTAATTAGTTTATTAATGTCTCTTAATGTTTCTTACTTATTACTGTTTTTGTTATTGTTAGTACTTTTACTGGTGTAGTCATTGCTGATATTTTCTACTTGTAACTGTTTTTTTTCCTCTAAATTTTCTTGATTGTGTGTGTAATCGCACTGTTAGCTTTCCATAGGTGAGTAACCTTGTTGTTGATGATGATTTTTATGTGTCAAAATTTCGCAGAAATAATGCACAAAAAAACTTTCCCATTTCTTATATGAATACTCACCGTTCTCTTTGTTCTCATCATTATTGATTCGCAGTTATTGTTGCTAATGTTAGCACTATAAATCATCATCTCATAAAAAAATGCACAACAGAGGTGATCTGGTCGCTAATCTGATCATCATTCTTCATTGACGGTATAATAATAATGATAATAATAATAATTGTTGTTATTATTATTATTATTATGAATCTTTGCATTTACCTCCAGTAATGTGGAATTTAGCTGCGTTTTTTGTTTTTATTTTCCAATTGGTTTACTCGAGAAAAAGAAATATTTAAATTTTGCTGATGGACGACAATACAGTACGTATGAAAGAGAAATGCATTTATGCCGTTGTCTCCTACTCAACACTCGCCAATTTTTCAGTTATTCCAAAATAACGCTACGCTCGACCTATGTTGTTTGTACACCATAACATCACAATATTGTATATAATCACCCTAAATCTTTTATTATAATACATTATCTCATCTTGGGATAAAAATAAACGTTTCTTTTCTTGTTTTTTTCTTTTTTATATCTCGTAAGTTCTCTTTCAACAACAACAACACATACTTTTTCTACTTCGTCCTATCACATTTTTTCTTGGGGATTTTTGTGTGTGCGTGTGTATCGTATTTACATACGTACTCTTGTGTACTTCGTTTTTCTTTTTCTATTGCATTTATATGATTGATTCCTTATCATTGTTGTCGACAATAACGACGGTTATCATATAATGAAAGAATTTTCATTCTGTTAACCACTCTTAAACTTATTATGCATCATTTCAGTCAGTGATTTTTATTGTCTGTGTGTTAATTTGTTTCTTATCTCATGGTATATATAATACCCATTGATCGATTTATATGTCTAAAACATTATCCAACAAGTCAAATCCGGTCTCATTTTGATTAAAGGACATATCTTATAGTAAGTAACGTCATTTTGTCCAAAGAATAACTTACATTTGTCTTATAGTTCTATAATTATTCTTATAGCCTTCCTAATTATCTTCATATCTATTTATGCGTTATTCCTCTACGTGAATATGTTACACTATTAATGTGACCAAAATAGTCTTCAACTTGTATGCTCTTAGATTTCTTAATGTGGCTAGGTAAAAATTATTATCTATGTATTCCTACATTTATTGATCTGTAGAAGGTAATCAGTAAAATTATTATTGCTTCTTTGAGTATAATTTCCTTTTCCTACTATAAGGGTTGGATTTATCTCGAAATGTGCGTTATTCTCGTCGGGATCTTTTTGTTGATATTTCGAATCGTCGTAAGTCTAATTTCTCAGTCGCAACTAGTACCTCGATGTTATAGTCATATTTGTACATCATGATGATTGATTGAGCTTAATTGGCTGAAACATCTGTTGCCTTAGTTCCCACCGTGCCGGACGGGTTGGTTAGAAAGCTGTAGTATTAAAAGAAGCAAACTCAAGATCTGACGGCAGCATGGTGATTTTTCAGTCGACCAAGATCCGCAGCGTTGGTGCCTCCTCACCATGGAATGTGTGAGGGTTAGAAAAGGTGCGGCTCAGAAGTAGCTCGGTTCACTACGTCCAAACGGATCTCCGTTTTTGGCTTTAAAAGTACCAAACTGACATCGAATCCCAAAAAATGCTTTGACCAGCCTCAAGCATTTGTTCCTTAAGCTCTGCAGTCCTACTGTCAAATTGTCAAGACCGCTGCTATTGCAGTTCCCTGTTTGGGTCTCCGAAGAAGTATCCTTTAACGTTTTAGGCAGTTGGAGAGTGACAACCATACTTGTACCTTCAACTGATCACTGTTCACAATCAAGTCTACTTAGTGTTCTGTTTTCATTGTCAACTCATATCTCTAGTCCTTTCTCACTTGACATTATTGATAACGTATGGGGCTCACAGAATGTTTTTCCTGGTCTTCTGAGGTCACTTCAAAATAAACGGGTCTTCCACGACCGTTGTTGCTATCTTGACGTGGTGGTCGGGCTTGCCTATCGTGATGAAGCAACCGAGCCATACTGGCTGGAACAACCGTTCCTCAAGGTCCTACAATGTCAGACAGGTCGGTTGAAGAGCGGTAAGACTACAAGCAACAAACCCAAGGTCCGAAGTCGTACTGCTGACTGTACAGAGGTGTGACAGCAGTAAGGTATTTCCTTCAGGGAACCGGCATGACAGCGATGCTACCTTCCCACAGGGAGGGATGGGGTTGGAAAAGGTCGGCCCTAAAAATGCACACCTCACCTTATCCCACTGATATCCGTCTCCGGCAGTAAGGTCTCAACAAGTACTGAGCTGACATAAAAATTACCAATAGAAAGGTCGTGTGTGACCGACCTCAAGCAGTTGTCACTTGGGCACTGCGGTCACGCTCTCAGGTCATTAAGACCACCTCTAATCCAATTTCCTTTTCAGGCACCTACAGAAGAAATGGGTCTTCCAATGTCTGAATCGTGTGTCAAATTGAGGGCTAGGTGCACTAGCTGAGATCTTGGAACCTAGTACCATCGATGTGTGCTGTCTTCTAAACACACACTGGGTTCTAGTGTGATTATAATCGCGTATGTACTGTCCAAATGTTACAATAAGAACTTGAAGGGAAGGCCGTTACCTTATCATTCTCGCCTACTCTTCACTAACTTGACCTTAAGCAGAGTAAGAGACAAATGTTCATATCCTTAGATATATCCGCAACAGGTTATTTTGACCTTCGTCGGTCTTTAAAGTCAATCTGGAAAATACCACACAGAATTCTCAACCTTGGTAGGTTAGTGTTTGGGAGAAGCGCGCTTGACTCATTTCAACCTGCGCCACCTTCAACGTAGTCAAAATGTTAGTCAGCCAACCAAAGGATTATTATACATAATACTTTATGTTACGAACCTTGGTATATGAAATAAAAGGTGCATTGCTCATGTATCATAAAGTCACCGACTGAACAACGCTTATGTTATGGATATATGCGTATTAGGTTGGTGAGTTTGTTAACTTTCGGTGATTGAGTTGTTTTGGACATACTCAAGTTGCACTTACATCGTCGTACAATGTTAGGTATCATGATAATGTTAGAAGCACTCTGTCGTGGGAACAAACTATAATATTTAGCCTTATTGGCAGTACAATTATTTTAACTTAATATGGTAATGCAACTTGAGATAAAGCGCATTTGTGCCATGCTCCATGGTGATTTTGACTGTCACGATACATACATTACACGAATCAAAGTACTTTTCATAACCGAATTCAGCCAACAATTTATTTTGCTGAGAACGACGCTACTAATTGCACACTAGAAGTGCTAACTTGTTTCGAATAAAAAAAGTAGATCATACTCGGGGAAAGTGTGTATACTTGGTTTTGATGGATTTACTCAACTCCACATAACCAGTATTGTGAATTAACACATATTTTAGATGCGAGTTTAATTATTAGTGCGCGTTTAATAACATCATTGAGTGTGAAGTAGTTTTTGTTGACAATCTCAATAAAGTAAGTTTTCTCAAAGTGGAAAATGCCAGTTCTTATTTTTGTAGTCTAAGATAGTACAAATCATACTAAATTTGTCATTATGTTCATTACGTTTTAACTAGAGTACATGATGTTCCAAGTATTTTGTATAAGCTCGAGTATTCTGTTTATAGATTTAATGACCAATCTCTACAAACTAACATTCTAAATGATATCATTTAGTTTAAATTTTGCCATTTCATTTCTTGAAAAAGATTCCAATTTAATAACTTTGAAACGATTATTCTCATTTAAATGCGAAGTTTTTGTCCTATACTTAGTAGGATACATAAATCAATGGCTTTATTAGACAGAACTATTTAGTCAGTATAGTGAATGTACAAATTAAAAAGTTAATTTCAGGAACTGTAAGTATTGGTAATAGAAGTAATTATGTGTACATATATGTTGTGAGTATTTATCAATATTGATTTATAATACTCTTCAAATAATCAATATCTTGCAGTTATGGTTAGTGAATAATGATAAATGGATTATCATTACAAATGAACTGTGACCTAATCAATTAGCAAATTTATTTTCATCCTTTACTTGACAAGACATTTGAAAGGTTTTTTGAACTACAGGTCGATATCAGATTTTCGAAGCCTATATGTATGACACAATGTAATGTGAATAAAATCAATATCACGAAACTACTTACCAATATGATCCATTGTAGTTATGTAGTCTTTTTAGAAATATTATTCAATACTTGATTTATTTATAAATAATTCTTATCATGAAATAAAATAAACTGGATAATTCATTACGAGTCAAGTTATGACGGACAACTATTCTGCTGTCGATTTTGTTACTTCAATAACATGTATTAAGAACCTTAAATTATTTAAAGTTGACGATTTCAAGACATATCAGAAGGGATTTTGTGGATATTATAGTAATTTTAATAGTTAAGATCACGAGTCAATTGAACCTAGACCACCGTGGGAAACCTGGAAGTACTGGACGGATGCACATTGCTGAGCAGTCCCATAATAGGTCGAAACGGCCGTCCAATGCTTCCACGTTTTTTATGGTGGTCTAGCTTCAATTAACTTGTGATCTCAACTATTAAATTGTGAATCATTTATAATC